GTGCGACCGAGGGCTTTGGGCAAGGGTTTCGACTAGGACGGAATTTGTGTTTCTATCCCTTTGCCCTCGCGGTGTAGATGGGTAATTGGTGTCCCAGAACATACACTTTGCTCTCAGCGCTACAAACCCCTGAACTACTTTTTTGTCTGCTGGGCTGTTGCTGTAGTGTTGGCGGTCTCGTCAGTCGATCTAAAGAGCGAGTGCTCCATGGGCGTTTGGGGTTTAGGGGCTTCAGGTTTGCTTTTGCTTTGTGGAGTGGAGTCCTTACGGGTGGACTCCTTGCGGGTTTGGTCCAGGGCTCACAGGCTGTAGGATGTGATGGGCCTTGGTTTGGTTGCACCCCAAACTCGTACGCTCAGTTTCCCGAAGAATTGATTAGCTTTTACGGTTCAACAGGGTTCCAGCTCACGGCTTCTGTTGGAAGGTTTGGGAAGCTGACCGAGCCCTAGGGAAACGATGGGTTCTGTTGCCGTGCTGAAGCTGCCGAGCGGTATTTCACCATTGTGTGGAATGACGCGGGGCTGTCGGGTAGTTGGGTGTCGTGCTTTGCTGTTGGAAAGAGCCGCCAGATCAAGGAATTTTCCTGGCAGCTTCTCCATTGCCCCCTCTGTTTGGGTCTTCTGCGGTGGAAGCGGACGAGAATACCAATAAATGAACCCAAACGGTTTAGGTGTCTGGTCTCACCCTGTAAATTGAAGCGCCGGTGAGTGGCACCATCTCCCGATGAGCTTGACATGAGTCATGGATCTGAACGTCCCGTGCGCTTCAAGGAATTACACTAAATCAGCCCGCCGTCGCGCCAAATCCTGCAAATTTCAGCGGAAATCAGTTTAAGCCTCCCGCGGCGACCACAGGTGTCGAGAATGAACTACGACAACTCTGCAGAGGCCAGTTGTGATGCACGATGAGTGATCGAAGCTTCGTCGTGTAGATACTACTAGGACAGAAAAAGTAAGCACAATTGGCAGAGTCAGAGCCAGTACTAGCAGCTGCAACTTCAGCGCAGCAAACACGACTGTGGCATCAGCTACTGGAGACAAGATCAGGGACAACTTCCGTGGAAGTTGTAGCAGCTCCGCCAGTAGCACCCGCTGCAGCAGCAGCCGCCACAACTGTAACTGTGACAACAGCAGAGCAACGAAAACGACAAAGACCAGCAGCAGCAGCAGCAGCAGCAGCAGCAACAGCACCACCAGCCTCATCAACACCACCACCACCACCACCGCCACAACCAGCAGCGGCAGCGGCAGCAGCAGCAGCAGCAGCAGCAGCAGCAGCAGCAGCAGCAGCGATAACAACAACAATGGAGCCGGCAACAACAACAACAACAGCAACAACAACAACAACAACAACAACAACACCAACAACACCAACAACACCAGCAGCATCAGCACCAGCACCAGCACCAGCACCAACACCAACACCAACACCAACACCACCACCACCACCACCACCAACAACAACCACCAAAACGACAACCACAACCACAACGACCACGACCACGACCACGACCACGACCACGACCACGACCACGACCACGACGACAAAGATAACGACAACCACAACAGCAGCAACAACAGCAACAACAGCAACAGCAACAGAAACCACAACAACAACAACAACAGCAGCAGCAACAACAACAACAACAACAGTGTGCCAGCAACAACAGCAACAGCAACAACACCAACCACAACAACTGCAACAAGAGCAACAACCACAGCCGGTCCAGAAACAGTGATCTAGCTATGGCAATCTAACTATGGCCACCACAGCCGAAGCAGCAGCTGCAGCAGCAGCCCAAGTGGCAGAATGAGTTGCAGTCACGATGCTCAGCATGAAGTAGCCACCTCACGAGTATGTAGCATGTTGCATTCCAGCTGGGTGTCTAGGAAGTCATGTGCAGGAGAGGCACATAAAACTAAACACAGCAGCAGCACGAGCAGCCGTAATTGGATCAGGATCATCATCATCATCATCATATATCATCGTCATCATCTTCGTTACCATCACCATCATCATCAGCATCATCATCATCATCATCATCATCATACTGTCTTCGTAGTGGCGTTTTATTTCTTGCAGACTCCCTCGAGAGCCACCAACAACCAGCAGCAGACTAGTAACAGAAGGCCAGACGAGCCGAAGTCAAGTTTCACTTACGCCCGCAATGAACCGAGACTCCTCGTTCAGCGTTCAATCGAAATCATCATCATCATCATCATCATCATCATCACATCATCACCATCATCATTATCACCATCATCGGCAGCACCCGAACAAGCGTGTCATCCTCCCTAATGTAGCGAAAGTAGAAGTGGTAGCTGCCATCGTGATTGTAGCAGTACCAACATGAGACAACCTGGTCAGGAAACCTATCTTTTGATTCTGATCAGAAGGATATAGACGAATGATGCCGGTGACGGTAGCACATGTGGAAATTGAAGCAGCGCTTCCTGCGTACAAGCTGTCCAGGCAATATTCTCGCTGCACTGCAAGTTTTTGCTTCGCCAGGCAATCCTGCAACAGCAGCAACAGCAGCAGATGCAGTTGCAGATGCAACAGCAGCGCGTCTCCAGCGCGGGGCAGCTCTCACATCGCTCGGACACGCCGATACAAACGCAAGGGGCTCGGCGACGAAGGAACGGAACCTTTATCTGTGTGTGGGTCTTCTCATGACTGGTTGGCTAGCAATAAATGGGGTTCCGAACTGGCCCGAATCTCACAGGATATCAAGCTTCGGCTGGGAGATGATACAAACCTGCTTGACACAATTTTTATCCACGGATGAAAAGGTTTCGCAGGTTTGCATGTGCAAGGGTCTTCCGCCTGTAGCCGGCAGCAAAACTGGGACCAGTCCTCTCAGCGCCCCAGCCAGGTGCTAGCTAGCCAAAATATAGCCCGAACGCTGGGGGTCGGAATCAAGCCTTGAACCCGCAAGAAATCAATCTGCACGTCTTTACAGACACTGAACCCATACCCCTTCTGTGGCAGAATCATGTAGACGCCTGGGTCACACCTCTTATGATCTCGTGCATTTAGTGCTAGAACATGCTGGGCTGCGAAGGCACTGTTTACGTTCAGGCTTAAGGGACCGATTCGTATGAAAGCTTGCATCAAAACGAACAAGGACAGCGCGGAAAAAGGTTGCTGTAGACAGATCTAGACCGCAACCGGTTTTGAACCCAGCAGCAGGTCATTCCAAGCTTTTGCTCCGCGAAGCAGCCATTCCACGCTATAAAAACCCAAAGCCCCACACTTGTAAGCAGCCTATCAGCCCTATACTTAGATGATCGTAGACCCTAAATCTAGAGCCTACACATATCATTCTAAAACCATACCCCCTAAGAAAAACCGAAGCCCTAGCGGACAGATACTTATGCCCTAGAAACCTAAACCTTTAAACTTCAATCCCCGTAGTCAGAAAGACCAAACCCTGGAAGTCCTAAGGGGCAGCGCGGTGCCCACACAGCGCTCCCAAGGAGTGATGGAGAGCTGGAGGTGTATGATTTAGGGTGTAGTTTAGTAGGGCTTGTAGGGCGTTAGGGCTTAGGGTGTACGGTTTAGTGCAGCTTAGGACAGGGTGAAAGGGTTCGTTCTGGTTGAGGGTTTGAGATAAACACGGTTCAGTCGTTTAGTCTAGGCTGTGTAAAGTGCAAGGAGATGCGAGGAGCCTTCCGGTCCTGCCTCAAAAACTCTTGGCTCATTGAATTCAGGTCGCAAGCCGTATACTCTCCTACAGGAGGTTCGTGGTTTTGTTGTGTGGCAGTGGATATAAGGTGTCAGAGCCCGGGGCCCGGGGCTCGGAATGCTACTGCTGCCAAGGCTTGGGATGGTCAGTTTAGAAATAGATCCTGCTTAGAGTGGCGAGGCATCGCGATTTCAGCAAGGCAGCAGATCAGTTCCGCCCAGTTTTGGACCTTGGGAGGTATGATCGTCGCACCTGTGTCCAGGAGCGATCATGAGCAAGACTGGCGAATTCCTCCGGTATGACCCAGCGTCGTACAGGCCGCTGGGGTGAGGGGGATCCAATCGAAGCCTTGTAAGCTCTTCACTCTGCGCCGGGTCGTCGTTTTTTTTAGCCGTGTCGAGTAACTGTTCGATGCGGATCACTACACGGACTTATAGGTGGATCCGGACGCATGAGACGCGCTTAGAACCTCAACTAACCTCAGTGGCTCCACGACTGAATCCAGCGGCCAGGAATGCTGCCATGAACTCTATGGGTGCCCGCATGCCCATGAGCTTCACGCCGATGCAGGCCAGAATTCAGAAAAGTACCGTTGGCTCCAGGTTCATGTTGCGGGTTCCACTCTCACTGCACGGTCTCTTGAGGCGGCATCGGCTCAGGGCTTAAGGCTTTGTGGGTTTCGGTTTCGTCCATCTTACACATACCCATAAAGAATCTCAAAGCTCGGCAGATAGATGAAGCATTGACCTCCATTGTAGTAGTGGTTCCAACACAGTCTCTGTCGCAATAGGATCATATCAGCAGGAGCCACTACTATGAGGTTTGAGGGCCAGTCACCGTGCGAAATCTACAAGCAGAGCAAGTTCCCGAAAGCGTGTAAACTTGTAAACCCTAAGCCTCAATGGTCCAAGGCCACGACGCTCAACTCCTAAGCCCGCCGATTCCCGACCAGCCGAGACCGACGGTTGCTCCTTAGGTCTTTTCAGCCAGTATAAAGACTTCACCACAGATCTCATCCTGCTACATCGAATAAACTTCAACGAGTTCGCATTGTCTGTGGGCGCCATCGAGCCCAACCCACAAGCCCTCAGACTACAGCTCAGTCTCGGCCTGAAGCCCTAAAGTCCCTAAAGAGCAGCTAGAGGCCCCCTGGAAGTCTGAACCCTAAACCCTGGAAGATTGAACCTCGAACAAGGCACTTGAAAGCCGGCTCTAGTCGCACCGCTGAAACACCGGAGCTCGTGTCTGCACCCGATCACGGCCACGAGCACGAGAAACTGCCGACCCTCCTATTCCAATACGACCCAGGTTC